TGAAGGATCCACAGAAGGACTTTGCCTGTAACTTATGGCAAATGTACACCTGTCCTGCAGGCTGGGTGGTACAGCACTGATTCCTTGATTAATGGATCTTCTGGGGCAGAAACTCTTCTAGAATGAACTCAGCCATACGTAGCTGATGTTAGGAAAGAGACTCATAAATCACACAAAGCAAGGTTGGCATGTGGCAGCTGGCTCAGCAGCAGCCCTCGGCCCAGCCTTATGCCCACCTGCCCTCTGCCCCAAGGGACCCATTGCTGCCCAGAGCTCTGCAGCAGGCAGCCTACTTAGCAAGGCAGCAGGACATGGCTCCTGTACCGGCGTCAACTCATGGCACTCACTCAGGGCACCAGAGCCCATCACAGTGACCAAACCAGTGAGTGGCTCTCAGACCTGAGCATGCATCAGAATCCCTTGGGTGCTTGCTAAACACGGACACTGGGCCCTGGCCCCAGAGCTTCTGAGTCAGTAGGTCTGTGTGAGGCCTGAGTTTGCATTTCTAGTTGGTTCTCAGGTGATGCTCAAGAGGCTGGTCCACAGAACCACATTGAGAACTACTGACACACTTCTAAGGGGTGACGGGTGAGGAGCTGCATCTGAGCTGTTTATCCTTGGGCAAATTTCTTTCTCCCGACTGAGCCCCCTACTCCCTCCTCTGTGAGGTGTGTGAGTCTGAGCCTCCCTCAGGGGCGTGCAGCAGGACTAGGCATCTTCACAGCCCCCAGCATCACCAGCACATTATTATTGAGGACTTGGAGACCACCACTAAGAAGGAAGGGGGGACACTGTGAAAACGCCAAACTAAGAGAAGTAAGAGGGGAAAAAAATGAAACAAATATACATAGAGGGCTTTCTCTAGGCAATGTTGGTTTTTTGTTTTGTTGCTGTGCTGGGAATAGAACCCAGGGCCTCATGCATGCCAGGCAAGCACYCTAACCACTGAGCCACACCTCCAGAACCAAAATGAATGCAGCTTGAACACTTTATCTTTACATTCACTTATATGGCACTGGGGAGGTACAAAGTTGGAGCAGGCCTAGTTCCTGGCAGCAAGGAGCCGAGACTAACGGAGAATCGAAGCCAGGAGTGCACCAGGAAGGGGGTGACGGAGGCCGGAGAGGGATAATCAGAACACTCAAGAAACAAGCTGGGGAGATTCTTTTAAGGCAGGGGACGTTTCTTTACAGTAGCAGCCTTTGGAAAAATGGGCAACATTTGACCCACGGAGATAACAAGGCAGAGGGACAACACAAAGAAACAGAAGCAGAAAACAGGCTGCAGGGGATTTGGCTGAGTGAGGAAGAGGGAGGGAGCCGAGTCTCAGATGCAAGACGACCTTGACCGGGTCCATGATGTGCCTCTACAGGTGGGGGAGTCTGTGTGGCCTGGGTGGGGCATCCCTGCAGGGCCCACTCTGCTTCCCAGGGCCTACCCACCTTCCCCACACCCATCAGGATGCAGGTCAGCCCAAGCTCCTACCTGACAGCCCCAGGGCCTAGGCCACCCAGCACACCCAGGAGAAAGCCCCAGTGCCACTCTACCGTCCCCATCGCTTACTGTGATCTGATTAACCTGAACAACTCTCCGCTAGTCCCCTTCCCTGGAGACCAAGGCTCTGGAAAGCAGAGTCAGCCTGGGACAAGGGCAGCCCCTGCCCTGGTGAGCAGTGAAACCCATACCCTGCAGCTGCGGGAGACGTCCACCCACACATGGAGAGCAGCTCGCCTCCTGCCGGCTGGGAGCTGCCCCGACCCTCACAGCCAGGAGAGGGAGAGGCCAGACCAAGGCTCTTTTGGGGTGTCCCCGTAGCACCCACCTCCAGAGCTTCTTCCTTCCTGGTTCTGGGCCCAGAACTCACACATGCTACCGGCGCTGGTTTCCCATCTGCTGAGGATTCCCCAGAAAGTGGGGACTTCTCCCCACCGCTTGGCTTGAGCCTTTGACTTCTGGCCCTGGTCCCTGCGCTCTTCCAGYGCCTGGGGAAGCACAGCGAGTACAGGGGCGGCCTTCCTTCCCCTCGTGGCTTCTCTGCAGCAGGCTCCGTCCAGAGCCCCACCCACTCACCCAGCCAGACTCTGTCCTGTATGGCTGCCCCTCCAGGTGCAGAAGGTTGAAGACCTAAATGTGCATACACATCACCTGGGCCACTTGTTCCAATTACAGGAAGACAGAGCAGCAGGGCTGGGTCGAGCCCAGGAACACACCTGCTCACTAGCCCCTCAGAGGACTCTGAGCAGGTTGCCTCCACAGTAACCTGCAAGAGATTTATTGGAAAGACCTATTGTCACAAGACAGCCTTGGTTTGCAGGTGGCTTAAGGGGGATCAGAGACAATCTAAGAGCAAGGAGAAAACAAGTCTTTCCCAGGCCCTTCCTGATCGTTTGTATTCATTTTCTCCAGACAAGGATCACTGCATTTCCCAGCACTTCTGGGCTCACCCACCGCTCCCCACAGGAAGAAAACTGAGCCCTGGAAAAATGGTCAGTAGCTCAAGCAGCATGTCTGTTTGGCTTCTATAACTTCCTTCCAGAGTTCTTCTGTTTACAGACTGGTCTACATCACCACAGTGCTTCGTGTACAGGGTGGAAAGCTCAGGACACCCGCAAGCTGCCTGCTCAACTGTCAGCCTGGCGGGGGTGACCAGTTGACTTTATCTGACCTTACCCAGCCCAAGGCAAAAGTCTCCTGGGATGTCATTGCGAGCTGTCCTGGAAGCATCATCTTCTGAGGGACCCCCAGGCCCCTTCTAGGGGTCCYCTAGATCCTGTCTTATCTTGTTGCTTTTACCATGTGGGATTACAGTTGCCTAATTTCTAGGTTCTAAATGAGTGTTTGTCCACTTCCCTGCTCGAAATCAGCTCTTGAGGACTGGGCCCATTTCTCTCTGGTTATATATGTGTCATCACCCCGGCAACGGCCTGGTATATAGCAGGCATTTAGCAGGCTTGTGAATAATAGTAATAGCATACATTTAGTAAGCATTTAGATGGGGTCAGGTGCTTCCCAGTCATTAAATAAATCAGTCTTCACAAAAATCCTCTAGTGCTAGGAGTAGCCCCATTTTACAGGTCAGGAAATCAAGGATGAGAGATCAAATAATTTGATCAAATCAAATTATTCCAGATCACACAGCTACTGAGTTGCAGAGCGGGGATGGACCCAGATGATGGGGTCTGTAGAGTCCACACCCCTAGTTCACTCTTCCCCCCACTTCCCAAGTTAAAAGAGCAGGCGAGGGCTGTCCTCCAGATGGCTCTGGAGCCTCCGTCAACCTCTGCTGCTCAGGCAGCCTGGCCAGGAGAAAGCAGGCCCTTCCTCTGCTCATCTCCAGTTTTCTGCTACGTGCCTGGCAGTGAGGACCTCGTACCACAAGAGACACTGCCTGGGTCCCCTCCCTTCTTCTGGTGGAACACTGACTCAGACCAGCACAGGGGACGAATACCAGACACACTGAGAACATTCTCAGAACGAGCATGTGGACATTATGAACTTCAGTCTTCCCAGCTTTCCTTCCCCATTCCCGAGTGGGAGAGGACCACACCCCATCCAGTGCAGCAAAAGACCTTCCTCTCAAGCCTTGGGGTGCCAGACCCCCTGGAGGACAGGGATGTTGGCTGGGTTATTTCTACCAACTGCAAACCGGGAAAGCCCTACTGAGATGCTGGGGGAAGAGTCTTTGTGAAAAACCTAAGCCCAGGGGCCAAGAGTACAGCTCAGTGGAGGAGCACTTGCCCAGTATATGTGAGGCCCTGGGTTCCATCCCTGAACTGCAAAAACAAAACMAAACCAAAGCCAAGACCCAAAGGCCCAGAACCCAGGAGCTGCTCCCTACKGGACAAGCTGGAGTTTGGGCCTGGGACAGACATCCCTCCTGCCGCCCCACCCTCCTGTTCTGGGGAAGACTCCTAACCAGTTGTTGTTAATGGCCAGCAGGAGGGCTTTCATGGATTCCTCTAGAGGCTGGCTAAAGGTTGACAGCCTCCGTTTCCAGGAAGAAAAAGAGGTGGGAGGGAAAAGTGGGTCTCTGGAGAGGCAGACTGACTCAGGAGAAGCCAGCACCGGAGCCCCTCAAGGCTGGGAGCGACAATGGATGGAGAGTGGAGAGCTGACCCACCCTGGCCAGGAGGTGACCTGAGAGGGTGCTGGGCAACCAGAGGGACAAATAGAAGGAAGGATGGATGGAGATCACAGCCAGGAGCTTCTGCTGTGACACGTCTCCTAAGTCCAGACCAAACTGGATGCTGTAGCCAAGTTGCACACTKCGGCCAGCTGGAGCTTTGCTCCAGGCCCCTCGGGTTCAGGGGTCAGAAGTTCTGGGGACTCCTCATCAGCAGTCCTGAGGTAAGTGGGGGCAGGGAAGGGAGGAAATGGCCAGGTCCAGGGGAGTTAGTGGTGCCTGGCCTGCCYACAGCAGTTCACATGTGCACTGAAGCAGCGTTTATTTTTACCTAGGTCGACTCAGCTTCTGATCAGACATGGTGGGGGTTTCCAATTGGTTTCCATGGAAACGTTATGCAGAACATCTGCTACCTGATCAAGCAAGCCTAGGCTGGCATGACTCTTTCTAGAATCATTGTACCATTTTTTACCAGGAATACTGTCCTGCCTGAGTGACTTCTTGTRTGGTAGAGGAGGGGAAGGGCAGCTCGGAGGGGCCATAGCTGGCTCCCAAGAAAGCAGAGAAGGTCTGCTAAAGTGAGCGTGGTGGTAGGGCCACTTACATTTGGAGAAGCACTTGGCTTTCCGTTTCCAAGTCCCATAGTGTCCCACATGAAGCCTGAACTGAGCCGGTCCCTGGGATYGGGTCCCAGGCCTGCCCCAGGAGCAGGGCACCTGTTGGCTCTCCTGAGAGAGGCTGGCTTAGCTGCAGGAGAGGGTTAGACTGGAGCATGTTTGGTATCACTCGGGCCCCAACTTTCCCCGAGCAGGGGRAGGGGGCGCTGCGTCAGAGAGGAAGGCACAAGTGCACATGAACATGTAAGAAGTGGTTTTATTCCAGGTGTGTTTCATAAAGACAATGTCCTCAAGGACAGCTAGTGGCACATGCTTTGGTCAAGAAGAGGAAAAGCAAAAACAGAGTGGGCCAAGTCCCCACCCAGGACAGCTGAGAAGTCCAGAGCCTGGCTGACCATGGAAATGAGGGCRAGACCCTCTCAAAGGCCCTCTGAGCAGCAGTCCTTACATTCAAGAGCTCATGCTCCTGGCCCCCAAGGGCCACGCCTGAACATGGCCTAGGCTCTAGGGAGAGGACTCGCCCCAACCCTGGTTCTATTCTAGCCCACAGCAGGAGCTTCCTGGATGAACAGGGGATCTGAAGCCAGGCTCACAAATGGCGGTGGATGAAACTCCACATCAGAGAATGAGAGAAGTGTGGCCACTGAGGCAAAGGACCCCCACACTGTGAGTCCAGGGGTGCACTTATACCTGCTGAGAGTGCTGGCGAGAGCCAGGAGGCAAGAGGACACTGCTGGAGAACCYTCCAGAGTGGGTGCTGGGGACCATGAACACTTGGCTTCCAACCCCAAGGGCCACGTGGAGGGAACAGGGTGATGGCAGTTTGGGTGCAGCAGGGAGGAAGGTTGGGAGAGGGGAGCTGCAGGTCAAATAGCTCCAGTCCAGAGCAGAGGCCTAGACCCTTTGAGATCAGGGACCTCTTTAAGAAGCCAGGGAAATCCTCTTTTCCTGGGTCACTCTCCCCAGGAAGATGCGCACACACACACACACACACACATACACACACACATATACACAAACACACACCATTTGGGGGACAATTTCTGGAAATTCCTAGACCTTCTGGAATGCATGAACTCTCTAGAGTGTGGCTCTCTTCTATGAAAGACTGGGTGCTCCTGAGGTAGAAGCATGTGCCCCAGGCTGTTTGCTTTGGGAGGGAGACCCCAGGGGTCCTGGTACCAACAGATCATACTGCCCAAGCCAGTGGTTGGGGTCAGGTGCTTGAGGGAACAGCAGGAAGAATCCCAAGACAAGGCCATGGGGGAACTGGGAATTCTCCACAGCCAGCCTCCTGGCCAAGTGYAATGGCTGACCTTTCAAGGGAATCCCTCCTGTAAGTAGAAGGAACTGAGAGTGCCGTTTAGCCAGGTGACTAGCCCCTTGTGACTCAGGGGGTGTTCATACTCCGAAAGGAAGTCACATTCTTATCGGCCACCCTGACCCATGACGCAGTATTTACAGAGACAAAGACCTTGAGAAAGCAGGGTTCAAAACCACAAACGAGGGTGGGGCTGCTCAAGGGTGCATGACATCTGCCTGTTTCCCCACTGGGCCCAGGCRGGGGGACAGGGCACCAGCTGGTCATGATGGCCCAAGAGAGAGGTCTCAGCCTGACACGTGGCCAAACAGAAGTGGAGTCTGTTTAATAAGCTGCACCCCAAGTCTGCCCTCAAAGATCCCTCTGCAGCCTCCTGCTAGATCAGCATTAAGGCTGGAGGCATGTGTGCGGCTCAGGCCTAGGGACTGGTGAAGGTGGGCAGGATGGCACCTGGGAAAGAGACGTTGGTCTTTTGTTGCTTTGCTGCTCCTCCATCCATGGTCTCCTGYGAAGGCTCCGCCCTTTGCTCCCAGGATCCCAAGCCTCCCACACCCAACCCCTGGGTCTGGCATTTCTCAGGGCCCCAAACTTCTCAGCTCCTTCCAGTTCTCTACCTGCCCCTACAGGTGGCCTCTCTCCTCTCTGTCCCTCTCTTCCCAGCCTTAAGCCTCTCTACAGGCTGCCCACTTTCTCCTCTCAGGCTGTCCCCACTAGCAGGCCCCATGTCCCCACTGGGYCCCTCTGAGGGCCTCTGTCCTTCGCACCCCCAGGCAACAGGGGGATCTTCCACACACCACTGTTTGAGCCCCATGTAGGGCCAAGGGAGAGGACAAAAGGCCAGGGACACTTGCCAAGTCCCTAGCCAGCAACAGTCTGGCACCCTGACCGTCTCCTCTCCCAGGGCAAGGCCAGGGAGGCATAAAGGACACTGGGTGTGCCCCTGTGCGCCCTCCCTGGAACGAGCTTTGGAGTAATGTGTGTCGTGGCAGGGTGTTTGCTGATGACTCCGGCAGAGATGTGAGGAGATGGAAACGGCCCCGCTTGACACTCCCACCCCAACCCCCTTCCGGTCCCAAAGTCTCATGCAAAAGGTACAAGAGGCCCTGGGGCTACTGTCATGTATGTGGCAGCAGCTGCCACTGCTGGGCCTGGGCGTCAGCCTGGCACTTGCTGGTCACCAGMTGGGCAGGCTTCGTCTCCAGGCAGAGGCCGCTGACTGAATGCTGGATGAAAGATCCTTTTCTCCTCCATTTCTGGGAGGGAGAGAGATGAGAAGGAGGGACATGAGAAAGCAATGATTAGAAATAATAATAATGTACCTTCACCTCCCTCATCCCCCCATTTAAAACAGACTGCATGTCCCTTATGTCAGTGGCTGCCCATCCTGCCAAGCTCATAGTCCTGGCGGCAGGGCACCTGCTTGGCATATAGCTGCTGTCTGGACCAGGGAGACAGTGCAGATGCCCATGGGCTGAGTCCAGCTCAGAGATGTATTTTGTTTGGACAGTACAGCGTTCATTTGAAATTTTGCTTAGTTACTACATACAAATCTGCATGTTGAGCTTCTATCTGGACATTGGGCCCAATTTCTTAAATGGCATCAGTTGGCRGGCTGAGGACTTGCCTTCTCTCTGCTCCCAGTGGGGCTTTTGTTYTCCAGTTTGTCATAGTCCCTGCCTGGTCCTCTAGGGACCTGGGCTTCCTCAGGATTTAAGTTTGTGAGTCTTGGCCTAGGTGAATTTCCTATTTCTGTGAATAAGATTTCTTCTTCCTGCAGCCTGAATTCGGACCCAGCCTATAACCATGAGGCTGGTGACTGGACGCCATCTTTACAGGCATGGCACACTGAGCGGGACAACAGGGGTACTTGAGGTCCCCTACTGCACTTTTGGGTGACTTCCTCTCCCAGCTGAGATAAGCAGGGAAGAATTTTTGCTGTAGAGCATTTTAGAAAGGCCTAGATAAAGCATGGAGTGTTGTCTGGAACATGGAGAAGAGGGAGTGA